TATTGTTGGATGAGCAAGATTTCTATTGAGGTGTAGTTATAGGAAGTAGAAATATCAATTTGTGTTGTGATTGGGTTGGAAGCCAAAAAATGTCGGAAAACAATTTTTAAGAGGAGATAATAAAAAATATTAGCTAAAAAATTTTTAAAATTGCACGAAACCTAAAAACTTAATTAGTTTCAAAAACTTTTCTTGAACACGTAAAATTTGAAATAATATTTTTGTTATTATATGTGCAAAATAAACATTATAAGTATCACCGGCATAGCTCTTTAAAGATGTCATTAAAAATACAGTGTATAATATTTATTAACTGTGGCATACAGTTAATGTTTCGCAAATCCACACAGAACCTATTTTGCCTGTTATACCAGTTTCATTCTTAGCCGTGCTTTTGTTCACATTCACGCTAAAACAACTGGTCTTTAGGCGGCCGGCCAAGAAATTATTTTTACTCGATGGCCACAAGTTCACTTTCTACAAGCGCACGGCCTAGACGTCCTAGGTGAAAAAATTTCTCGCACTTTGTTTTTTGAGGTCTCAGCCTGTCACGTCTAAATTGGTCAGTCACAGGAAACGTCAAGAGTACAGTGACGTAATTGATTTCAGTACAACAACCTCTAGGACAAGCCCGGGGGTCAAGTTATTAGTTATGGAAGAGGAGGGGGTGGGATTAGTTAGGGCATGAGTTAAGTAGGGAGGGCAACAGTTAGGGTGAGAGTGTGGTTCCAGAGGGCGGGGGAGGGCGTCAGTTAGGGCGAGATGGTGGTTCAGGAGAGGGGGTCGTCAGTTAGGGCGTGAGGGTGGTGGGGGATGGTCAGGGCGTGAGTGTGGTTGACGAGGGGCGGGCGAAAGTTAGGGCGTGAATTAAGTAGTGAGGGCGGCAGGACGAGCGGGTAGGATGACGTCAGAAAGGACGTAAGGGTGGTTAGAGGGGGGGGGGCGACAGTTAGGGTGAGAGTTAAGTAGGGAGGGCGGCAGGGCCGGGTGGGTAGTCGGGATAGGGGGGGGGGAGAGGACCTCAGATAGGAAGTGAGGGTGGTGATAATCACAACAGGACAAATTAATTGGACGGTGAACTCCTGGAAAAAAGTGAGGCTTCATGCTAGATTAACAGAGCCTGGTAATCCGCATATCTTTAATGCCAAATAACTGACAGACTTGAACGCTTACTAGGCAGATTACAGACACTTTTAGACTCCTAATCTAACCGTGTTTACACATGAAGGCAGTTTCAGAATAAATATTTCGTATCAAAGTTTAGATTTGATTTTAATTTGTTAGCACTATGTCGTAGTCTGTGCTAATTTTAACTTAATTTTTCAAGTTAAAATTACAAAGGTTGAAAATAAATTTAGCAGCATAGTTCTTACTATATTACATTATAATTTGGTGATATCTTTAAAAATTTGTATAGACTGTGTGTTAAAAAACATCAATCATAAAGAAGAAAAATGTGTAAAGAATGCTTCAAATATCTAGACTATTCTAGACGAAGGCCCGTTTTATGTTAGTGTTTTAAAAATTAAAACTTTCTATTTTTAGACTAATTACAGCATTAAAAATAATTAATGCAGTTTAAAAAACAGTGATGTTACAAAATCTTTGGGGCTTCCTAATTACATGGCGTCATGAAAAAAAATTCCCATAAAAATGTTTAATTACACAACGCCATTTTGTTTTACAATTCTGTCTGTAGCGTTAGTTAGCTTAACCAATCACGCAGACGGTTTTTACTCACCGACCTTGACCTGACCCCCTCTCTGCCCCCCCCCCCCCAACACAGGCTGCTAATCTAGGGTAGGATAGGGTCTCTACTTGTCTTCATCTTACCAGGACAATTTAGAATCTTTTCATCTACACAGATATTTGAATATTTTTGGCTGAAAATGAAAGTTATTTTCATAATTAATGCCACGGCCAATTTTAAAATAATTTATCGTTTATGTTGTATTTTTTTCAGGCAGTGTTCATTAAATACCTTTAAGGGCAACATGCATTAAGGTTTATGGTTTTTTTTCAGGCATTTTTCATTAAATACAACCCTAATGCATGTTGCCCTTAAAGGTGACTGTATAAAATATGTACGTCAGAAAACCAAGGGCGATAATACAAAATCGTATCTAATAGGACGTCATAATGTCCAGAAACTTTTCTAATTGCTTAATTTTTTCCCTCTTGAGTATTGAAATGATACAATAATATCATAATGTATGGAAGACTGAAAAAAAACCAACCCAACAACAACGTTGCAATTTATTTTTTAGCTTTGGCAAATTAATAAAACTTTAATTTAGCGCAAGCTTTCATTCTATAAGTAAACGTGCATCTATAACCAACTTTAGTATATGAACCCTAGCTCTGTATCTTTTCCTTACCTTCACAAAAAAAAAAAAAAAAAAAAAAAAAAAAAAAATAACATGTCCAGACGTTAGCCCTAATTTATTCACACCAGACAACACGAAAGCTCGTGCACCAGATTTATTTAACCCTTCACTTACGTCTATTTAACTCACTCTTGCCGCCAATCCGCAAAACCAAAGGGGGTCTTAAATTTTAACATTCTGCAACTTGTGAGATCGCAGAAAAAAACACAAACGCGCCCCCCCCCCTCCTCCCCCCTCCTCCCCACCTCTGTTTAATCAATCACTCCAAGACCCGGTTCAACTTTTTCATTTTTTCCCTGCAAAACTAGAAGTTGAATCACAAGGGAGACAACCTACAACCTTTCTGACCTATTTCTTTCTGTCAATGCACGTCCCAACTAAACTTTTACCATTCACGTGCATCTTTTTTAAAGAGTTGAGTGTACTTACAGAACTTTAAAAGTCTTTAACAAACGGTTAATGAGACTTGATTGATAATTAATTAGCAGATCAGTAAACGTTTTTGTAGGGCCATTGATTGGTTAGTCTCATGATTACTAAAGCAGAATCTAAGCATTGTCCTTCATCGTACAATGATCGGTGAATAATTTCTTGGCTAGGGAGTACAGAGAGATCTAGTAGCTATACCCAGCTATACGTAGATACAGCTAACAGCTATACCCAGCTATACATATATAAGCTAGCAGCTATACCCAGCTATACATAGATACAGCTAACAGCTATACCCAGCTGTAAATGGATATTACAGCTAGCAGCTATACTTAGCTATACGTAAATACAGCTAGCAGCTCTACCCGTCTTGATTAGTGTTAGCACAAACCTATACTACTACTGTAGACATATATTTTATACATATACAGGTGTATGCATACCCACTAGTTATATAACATTCATCAATGCAGCCATACCTGGTTACATACCTTCATTCGTACTGCCATACCATGACGTCATTAGTGCAGCCATACATCATACCATGACGTCATTAGTGCAGTCATACCTCATACCATGACGTCATTAGTGCAGCCATACACATACCATGACGTCATTAGTGCAGACATACCTCATACCATGACGTCATTAGTGCAGTCATACCTCATACCATGACGTCATTAGTGCAGCCATACCATGACGTCATTAGTGCAACCATACATCATACCATGACGTCATTAGTGCAGCCATACCTCATACCATGACGTCATTAATGCATGACAAGATGAATGCCCCTCTACCTGCCATAATGACCTGTAAATCACCAGATGCTCAACTCACCTGTCCGACCAGCCAAGGTTTTTTACCTGGCTCAAATGTACAAAAATAGAAAGTCAAGTCAGCTTCGTCCTCCTCCCACATAAAAAAAGAAGCACCAAAAACCAGCCGGAAAAAAACCCCGGAGAAAATTTCCGGTTCGGAAAATGAAACTTTTAAGGTCAAGACTGTTTGGTCTTGCTGCTGGGTCGGACTTCATTTTGTCTGTCTTGTTCTTTTATGTCTGTTTTTTTGTCTGTCTCGTTTTTTTAAATTATTTTTTGGTCTGTTTTTTAAATGTATAATAAGCTTAGAGTTTTCAAAAGCCTTAAAACAATCCGGGAAAGATATTTTAAGTTGAAATGAAAAAATTAATTTGTTATTTAAAAAAATGTTATCAATAAAAACAAACAGGAATCCGAAAAAAAAAAAACAGAACAATCAAACTTTCCACATGTGGTCTTCGTCTGATTAAAGACATTGAAGGAAAACAGAAGTTGAAATTTAAAAAAAAACAACTTAAATAATTTTGAAAATTAAACTCTTCGCCTTTGAAGTTCAGACATAACAAGTTTCATCCATCGGGAATAAATATTGGTTTTATCGATATAATTATTGTTCCAGCTACTTTGTAATTTGAGCTGTGGGGGGGGGGGGGGGGGGGGGGGTTGTCGTATTGGTATATTGTTTCGCTGTCTGCAGTTTTTTATTCGCCCAGTGGGATCTGGAATTTTAAGTCAGCTGGTGACAAATGAGAATGGAAATTTTTTTTATTTAAGTAATGAATTTAGATTTACTTGCCTTTTTAAAAATAGATCTACGCTTTAAAAATAAAATCACGTAAAACGTTTTCTGTTTTTTTAAAATCAAGAACGTTAATTTGATTTTTATGGAATTTTATTGCTATTTTTCTCCGACAGGAGGCCTTCGAAATCCTCCAAAAAGATAGTTTAAATGATAATCGACTGGTGTAATCTATTAGCCGTTTATTCCCCTTCAAATTACTACTTTATTCTTTCGTAGAAGCAATTTAAAAAATTTAAATTATTTTGATATTGTTCTGATTGCTGTCTGCATTCCTGATTGTCTGTCTTTTCTGTCTGTTATTCTGACTGTCTGTGTCTTGTTTATCTTTGCTGTCTGTTGTTCTGACTAACAATCTGTCTGTCCGCTGTCTTGTCTGTCTTTACTGTCCTGACTACTGTCTAACTGCCGTCTTGTCTCTTTCCTGTCTGTTGTCCTAACATTCTGTCTGTCTGCTGTCTTGTTTATCTTTGCTGTCTGTTGTCCTGACTTCTGTCTAACTGCTTTCTTCACTACCTCTGGTTTACCTCCACAACTGACACTTTATTTTTCTCCCCGTCCCAGATGGTTTCGACCCCAGGTCTGCCCCAGCCACCAGCAGAGCGCCAAGACCCAGTCGCTGGACCTGGAGACGGTGGCCGGCATGTACCTGGTCATCTGTGGCGGTGCCGTCATGTCCATGCTGCTCTGCTTCCTCCAGTACTGCTACGGTCACTTCCGCCGGAAAAGGGTAAGCATCGCATAGAGTTGCCTTAGTTTTCTTCTACAGCGCCTTCCTAGCACATCCTCCTCAGTTTCTGTAGTCAATATAAATACATACCCACACTCTGGATCGGTTTTACTATCCGTCCATCGTCCCCAGAACTGTAAGTTTTTTATGTCACCATTAAAAATGCTAATTTTGTAATTTACTACTACAAGAAGAAAAAAAGAAGTCTAAATCGATAGCAAATTAATAATTTCAAATATAAAAATTCAGATTTCAATTTAAAAAAATTAAACAACTAAGTAAAAAATCAAACAAATAAGAAGCAAATTAAGCAATTTTAGACCTCACGTTAAAATAAATTTCTGTTTTGTGTAACCTACCAGAAACCACGCCTTCTATGCCCATTCTCCCCAAGCAAGATGGTTGGATGGTTGTTCTAAGTACCGGCCCATTGTCAATAACCGTAAACCATCAAATTATCTCTTTAAATTGACATTTATCTCCAGTTTCTGTTCAATCTTCTAGAACATTCTTATTCTTGTGACTAAAGTAAAGACAAAACCTATCTGTAGAAATTAAATATCATCAATATGGTCGAGCATAATAGCGTGCGATTGCTTACTCCAGAAGTCCTGAGTTCAAACCCCGGACAGATAAGCCCATTTGTATGTGAACAACAACCCATCTAGGAGAGAAACTCCAAACTCAAACAACTGTTGCCTTGTTGTTTGTTCTTAGATGGACAAAGGCTATATAAGCATAGCCAGAAAGAAAAGCCAGCCGAACGACCTGTCTGAATGAACGAAGAAGAAGAAGAGGAAAGTCAAATAATTAAATAACATTTAGAAAAAAATGTAGAAGTTCAAAGCAAGCAATGAAATAACACGTTGAAAAAAAAAGTTCAAAGTTTTTGGTTTAAAATAAATCCGTGTTTCAGAATGTGTATTTCAATGAATAAAAACTATAAAAGGTAGAAGTAGAAAAGTAGAAAATCAAACAGTACAAAGTTACCGATAAAATCATAAGAGGGTGGTAGATAGCAGGATCCCCTGCTCCCAGTCTACACAAGCACAGCATGTAGTTGTCTCTATCTCACAGGAAAAACTCGTTTTCAGAACGAGGCCAGCATAAGCAGACGATAATTTTTAATGAAAACATCATTAAACCGCGTCGACTGGTATTTATTTGTGGAGTGTCACTCCCTGAGAAAATGGAATCTTCTCGGCACAAGGGTGTGTTTTCTGCTAGGGTGTGATAGAGAAGTATAACAGGACAAGACAGCAGGGGGGGGGGGGAGAGAAGTATAACAGGACAAGACAGCAGGGGGGGAGAGAAGTATAACAGGACAAGACAGCAGGGGGGGGGGAGAGAAGTATAACAGGACAAGACGATAGGGTGGGGAGAGAGAAGTATAACAGGACAAGACTACAGGGGGGGGGGGGGGAGAGAAGTATAACAGGACAAGACAGCAGGGGGGGGGGGGAGAGAAGTATAACAGGACAAGACGATAGGGTGGGGAGAGAGAAGTATAACAGGACAAGACTACAGGGGGGGGGGGGGGGAGAGAAGTATAACAGGACAAGACGATAGGGGGGGGGGGAGAGAAGTATAACAGGACAAGGGTGGGGAGAGAGAAGTATAACAGGACAAGACTACAGGGGGGGGGAGAGAAGTATAACAGGACAAGACGATAGGGTGGGGAGAGAGAAGTATAACAGGACAAGGGTGGGGAGAGAGAAGTATAACAGGACAAGACTACAGGGGGGGGGAGAGAAGTATAACAGGACAAGACGATAGGGTGGGGAGAGAGAAGTATAACAGGACAAGGGTGGGGGGAGAGAAGTATAACAGGACAAGACTACAGGGTGGGGAGAGAGAGAAGTATAACAGGACAAGACTACAGGGTGGGGAGAGAGAGAAGTATAACAGGACAAGGGTGGGGAGAGAGAGGTAAAACAGGACAAGACTACAGGGGGAGAGAGAAGTATAAGGACAAGACTACAGGGTGGGGGGGGGAGAGAGAGAGAAGTATAACAGGACAAGGGTGGGGAGAGAGAAGTATAACAGGACAAGGGTGGGGAGAGAGAAGTATAACAGGACAAGACTACAGGGGGGGGAGAGAGAAGTATAACAGGACGATAGGGTGGGGAGAGAGAAGTATAACAGGACAAGGGTGGAGGGTGGGGAGAGAGAAGTATAACAGGACAAGGGTGGAGGGTGGGGAGAGAGAAGTATAACAGGACAAGACTACAGGGTGGGGAGAGAGAAGTATAACAGGACGATAGGGTGGGGAGAGAGAAGTATAACAGGACAAGGGTGGAGGGTGGGGAGAGAGAAGTATAACAGGACAAGGGTGGAGGGTGGGGAGAGAGAAGTATAACAGGACAAGGGTGGGGAGAGAGAAGTATAACAGGACAAGACTACAGGGTGGGGAGAGAGAAGTATAACAGGACAAGACTACAGGATGAGGAGAGAGAAGTATAACAGGACAAGGGTGGGGAGAGAGAAGTATAACAGGACAAGACTACAGGGTGGGGGGGGGGAGAGAGAGAAGTATAACAGGACAAGGGTGGGGAGAGAGAGGTAAAACAGGACAAGACTACAGGGGGAGAGAGAAGTATAAGGACAAGACTACAGGGTGGGGGGGGGGAGAGAGAGAGAAGTATAACAGGACAAGGCGATAGGGTGGGGAGAGAGAAGTATAACAGGACAAGGGTGGGGAGAGAGAGGTAAAACAGTACAAGACTACAGGGGGAGAGAGAAGTATAAGGACAAGACTACAGGGTGGGGGGGGGGGAAGAGAGAGAGAAGTATAACAGGACAAGGGTGGGGAGAGAGAGGTAAAACAGGACAAGACTACAGGGGGAGAGAGAAGTATAAGGACAAGACTACAGGGTGGGGGGGGGAGAGAGAGAGAAGTATAACAGGACAAGACGATAGGGTGGGGAGAGAGAAGTATAACAGGACAAGGGTGGGGAGAGAGAAGTATAACAGGACAAGGGTGGGGAGAGAGAGAAGTATAACAGGACAAGGGTGGGGAGAGAGAGAAGTATAACAGGACAAGGGTGGGGAGAGAGAGAAGTATAACAGGACAAGGGTGGGGAGAGAGAAGTATAACAGGACAAGGGTGGGGAGAGAGAGAAGTATAACAGGACAAGACTACAGGATGAGGAGAGAGAAGTATAACAGGACAAGACTACAGGGTGGGGAGAGAGAAGTATAACAGGACAAGGGTGGGGAGAGAGAAGGGTGGGGGGGGAGAGAGAGAAGTATAACAGGACAAGGGTGGGGAGAGAGAGGTAAAACAGGACAAGACTACAGGGGGAGAGAGAAGTATAAGGACAAGACTACAGGGTGGGGGGGAGAGAGAGAGAGAAGTATAACAGGACAAGGGTGGGGAGAGAGAGGTAAAACAGGACAAGACTACAGGGGGAGAGAGAAGTATAAGGACAAGACTACAGGGTGGGGGGGGGGAGAGAGAGAAGTATAACAGGACAAGGGTGGGGAGAGAGAAGTATAACAGGACAAGGGTGGGGAGAGAGAAGTATAACAGGACAAGACTACAGGGTGGGGAGTTTTAAGATCAGTATATGAAACAAATTTAAACATCTAAAAACAGACAAGTCATTAAAATTTTACCTCGAGAAGACAGAAGCACACCTGCGTTTTATCATTATTCTAATTCAGTGATTTAAAATTGATGTAAAAAATAACAGGAAACTGATGAAATTCAATTTGAAATAGTTTTACGGCTTTTTGGCTGCACCTTTTTGTATTTAATGAAATAAAACATTACACCAAGACAAAACGTTTCCGTAGAGGTGGAGAAAAATGTGAGCAATTTTGTCTAAAAATTTACACTACAGTTCGTGAGTTTCTACTTGAGAAGCTGCATTAAAGTGTGACAATTTAGGCTTGAAAATCTGCGCCAAAGTGCGTGAGCTTTAACTTGCAAATCTGCACTAAAGTGCGTGAGTTTCTACTTAAAAATCTGCACTAGAGTGCGTAAGTAAAAACTTGCAAATCTGCACTAAAGTGCGTGAGTTTCTACTTAAAAATCTGCACCAGAGTGCGTAAGTAAAAACTTGCAAATCTGCACTAAAGTGCGTGAGTTTCTACTTAAAAATCTGCACTAGAGTGCGTAAGTAAAAACTTGCAAATCTGCACTAAAATGCGTGAGTTTCTACTTGAAAACCTGGGTTGGAGTCTATATCTGACCAACCTTAAACTACTGCTAACATTTAAATCAACGCTGTCGGCACGCGAGGTTTATTGTTTGTGAGTACATCTCACGTGAGGGCTGACCACGTTAGAATGGTCTAGTATTGGTGGTAATGAGAGGATGGTAGAGTTAGAACTGGTATTGATGGTAATAAGATTATGGTTGAGTTAGAATGGTCTAGTATTGATGGTAATAAGAGGATGGTAGAATGTTCTAGTATTGATGGTTACAAGAGAATGGTAGAGTTAGACCGAGATGTACTCTATGACCTCAGGAAACCCCCCACCCCCCATCTCCCCTGTGTAGAGTCCACGTCACCGTACATTAAAAATGTCAAATCTATTTTTTTTAGTCTTACTATTCCATCCTTGCCTAAAAAAGAAAATAAATTAATTAATTAAAACTAAAGCGTTTGAAGCAGTCGAAGCGTTTTTAAAACACTCACCTCCTACAACCTAGCCTAGATGTTTGAAAACAATTTCAATGCTTACAAATAAATAAAGAAGAAAAACAAGCTCTTTTGAGCTTAAATAGTATATGCATTCCGTATGATAAATATCATTACTTTGAAGACATTCCGTATGTTAAATATCATTATTTTGAAGACATCTGAAGTTGAAGAAAACATCAACAACATAAAAATCCCCCAAAGTTTTTATCAACGTTTCTTTGATTTCAAAACAATCTAAAAAAAAATCTACAAATATACGTTATTTAAAAAAAAAACGTCATTACCTTCGTGCCGAATTTCTTTAAAGGTAAATCACAGCAGGTAAAAAAATTCACCTAAATATAACTGTAAAAAAACCCACGGGGGTGTGTGGGGGGGGGGGGTGATTAACTTATTAAGCAAGGGCGGCGAGTAGATTTATGTCATGGGGTTGTGGAATAGACTTTTAGTACGCACATAAAAATGCCGTTTGGTTGTGCACTTTAAACTGAGTATGTGCGCTAGATTTACCATCTGTCGTTGCACGTTTGATTTACAGGACGTTTTTCTGTGCTAGACAGAAGTTAATACACAACAAAAAACACAACCATCTACAACCCCCGTCCCAACCACCCCATTTCAATTTGACCCCTTTCATTGTGTGACCGAGATCCTAAGTGTAAAAAACATGTTGTTATATATATATATATATATATATATATATATATATATATATATATATATATATATATATATATATATACATACATATACATAAGAGTATATATATATATATATATATATATATATATATATATATATATATATATATATATATAAAAGAGTATATATATATAAGAGTATATATATATATATATATATATATATATATATATATATATATATATAAGTGTATATATATATGTGTGTAGATATTTCATAGCTATCAATCAGTTTCTTGTCGGTATAAGTAAAATAGGATAGATACATGCATGCACATATGGTTTAAGAGAGAAATCAATAAACGAGTTTACAATATGATGACATGTGTATGAAAGTCTCCCAATTTTTTTCTCTAACTTAAGAAATTAAACAGAAACATTTAAGTAAAATGCTGACCTATGTATTCCATCACGTCCACCATACCCAACTGACCGGTCTTGTCTCTCTCCCCAGAAGCTCCGCGCCACTAAAGGCAAGAACCAGGAGCCGCTGACCACACAGGAGCTGGGCAGCGAGTTCAAGAGGTCAAACTTCGCCAGTCCACTCAGCGAGTCACGTGACGTGAACCAAGACGAGATCACGTATGCTAATCACTCGCCCCTGCATTATCGTACATCTGCAGACTGGACCTAACATCCGGTCAGTGGCACCATCCGTTACCAGAGCGAGTGGAAGAATTTGATTTGGTCGTGTGGGTAGGAGTACATTTTTTATCTTTTCAAAACGAGGCTGTGGTCACTGTGGTCAATGGATGCAGCGGGTGACGAGGAACCGATGGTGATGGAGTGCTCAGTCGTCTGCAGGACGTGCGGACTGGTCACGTGATTGTGGGGCTAACCGGACATGTGACCTGTTCATGTTACTAAAGCCCCGCCCTCCCCAACCTGATCGAGACTTATTATGCAAGTCTTCACGGACTAGATGAAGGAATGCAACAATTTCTCACAGATTACACGTTTTATTACAAAATGGACACAGCCAAAGACAAGTTTCAAATTAATCAACATTATGACTGTGTCCTTGATAAAATCGGCATTTAGTGTTTTGTTCGTGGTTAGGGTGGGGTGGGGTAAGCTCCTCCATGCACAAACTAGATCCACCTATGGGCCTCGCCTATAGTCCTTGACGTTTAACGAAAGTACTACAGTTTCATGCAATAAAAATAAAAATTTTGATTTTGTGTTTACCGCAAATTGTGAAGAAAGCATTGGACAGTATTGGACAGCTGAGAGATGTAAAGACAGCATTGTACAGCATTGGACAGCTGACAGATGTAAAGACAGCATTGGACAGCTGACAGATGTAAAGACAGCATTTGGACAGCTGACAGATGTAAAGACAGCATTGAACAGCAGACAGAGACAGCTGAAACCCCAACAAGATATCCAGTTTTCGCCTACTGATAAATATCATAATTCATTGTCATATATTTATGTGTATGTGATTTGTGTTTGATATACCAGTTCCAAATACAAAGACGTGTTCTACTGATATCACATCAGCCTAAGGTCACTCTGAACACTGCATGTCACGCTTATGAAACGTGAATATCACAAGTGTTTTAGAGTCACTTTTTGCTCAGTATCACCCAGCATGTGACGGGGTGGTTGAGGGATAGTACGTAAGATAACTGTCAATACTGCTTGTTCATATGCTGAGGTAATATGAATAGGTGAACTCTACTTTATCTGCTGGACTGTCTGGTATGAAAGGGTACTTTACGTTTCAATAAATTCACTTTCAATTGTAATATACTCTGCAATTTACCAAACTAGAAAGATGAACATTAGTTTATGTTTTTTTTAACTTTAAGCTATGATCATATTTTATGGCACAGTATGGGCAGTTGCCTGTACTTTGTATTTGAGCTGAGTAAAACAATGGATGGCCTAAGTTCTCAGCTCCTGATTAAATGATTTCGTGTTAGATATCGTGAGCTTCTCCTTTATCATTTGAAGAAACGATTTTGGCGATACCTAGACCATTGTAAGCAATGCTTTGTAAAGTAGAGAGCCTTTTTAAAATGATTCATTTTAAACCTTTATAAAGGGCGCCATATTAAACCTTAGTTTTTAAACTTTTAACGGTCACATTATAACTCATGTTGGATACACATTTTTAACCACAGTTTTCGTAGTAAAATATTTTCTACCCTATACAAAGATATCTGATTTAATCCTTCAAAGAACCATATTCGTCCTGAAGCCCCCGGCTACTTATCATTGTAGGCATCTAATTGGACATAAATGTAAATTCCTTAGACTTGTCAATTTCTGTTTTTCGTACCCTTGTTGACAAATATTTTATTTGGCTGGACGTGCTCCTAAAGATGTTCCATTTTGGCCAGCTCAGAAAAAGTGCTACTCAACTTGTGTTCTTTTAAAATATATGAAGATCCTGACATTGAAAGATCATCTTGTCTTAATTTAATAAACAACCCGAGAGTAGAAATATCCGATCCTTTATAGACAGACCCCCCCCCCTCCAGCACACGGCCATAAAAAATGAAACCAAAATAAAAAACCATCCGGCTCACTCTCTCCACCATGCAAACCCCTCTTCCACTGTTGACCATTTTAATGTGGTCCAAATTTCAGTGTTCATTAATTATGTTTTTAATTTGCCATTGTCGTGATGTAAAACTAGATATGTTGGCCGAAGGGGTTTATATTGGCCAGACTTAGGCAAATGTAATCAAGCAATAATTGTATGTATCCATTATGTCATCTTGTCCAATGTATCAACCCTTATACGATGACATATTTCCTCACAGTTTGTATATTTGTTATACGGTTTAGCCATGGGCGTCACACAGGGGTAACACAAAGTAAAATACCTTCCTTAGAACTATACATAATCACATTTTATGTAGGTTCACACAAGCTATTACGTGAATTAATTCAAATAATTCACAACCAAACTAAAGCCTATCCACAATGTTACAAGAACTTTTTTTGTCCAGCTAAAATAATTCAGTGACGCCCCTGGTAGTTTGATGTCACATTCTGGACAAAATCAATTTGTTTTTCTTGTAAATATTAATTTTGTCACTTTTCATGATTATATTATATAACATTGCATTGCTTCATCGTTCAACTTCCTCACCAACAAGCAGATCCCCCTCCCCGTTGTTTTATTGTTTATGTAATCATTTACAAAACTTCGCGCAAATTTTCATTCATCATTTCATCATGTGTACAATAGTCTACATGTTCCTAGTGTCTCGTCTAAGACCTAATCATTGTGTACATAATTTAAACATTACAACACACCATTGAGCTCATGCATGTGTATATACACACTTATTTTTAGTAGCGCCCAAACACACCATTTCTTTGAGTTGAAGACGAAAGAGGTCTATCTGGAAATGTTAAAGCCATTCACTTAAGCGTATTGTCATATTCCTAGCAAAGATCAATCATAGAACAGCGGCTCTAGACGTTATAAGACCCCGCGCCTGTAATATTTGTAGTTTTGTATCAAGAAAACTTTGTGTAAAGTTTGCTATCAAGACAAACTTTGTATAAAGTTGTGTATCAAGACAAACTTTGTGTAAAGTTTTGTATCAAGACAAACTTTGTGTAAAGTTTTCTATCAAGACAAACTTTGTGTAAAGTTTTCTATCAAGACAAACTTTGTGTAAAGTTTTGAATCAAGACAAACTTTATGTAAAGTTTTGTATCAAGACAAACTTTGTGTAAAGTTTTCTATCAAGACAAACTTTGTGTAAAGTTTACTATCAAAACAAACTTTGTGTGAAGTTTTGTATGAAGACAAACTATGTGTGAGAGTGTGGACAGAGATGTACAATTATTGATAGCGTGTCGGCATAGACACGATGATACATTGTCAAGTCGAAACGCTGTCGTGTCGAATCGTTTCCATTTGACTTGGTTTGTTCGTGGACAAAATCTATTCAGCTGCCCACTCAAAATATAAGGTCTGAAATTAGAACATTCAAGGTTTTAAAAGGATAAGCGAGCCTGTTGCTATTTTTACTTTTGTCTTTTGAGGTGTTGTGATATTTCACATGTAACAACTGATCGAGTAAGTTAGGTCATTTGATAGAACTAATTCTGAACTGTTATTACTTCATCAAATTTTTTAAATAAAAATTTACTTTGTGTATTAACTTGATTTAATGTAAACATAACCACCGACTGACGAAATAAATTGGTAAATACTACATGCAATGTGGTGTGTGAAAGCATCTCATTCAGTTTGATTTGTTTACTATTGTACGAACAAGGTTAAAACAAGTTCAGATGTTTTTTTCTTCTATTGAATGTCTGTTTTTGTTGGTAAATTCATCTCAAGTTAATGACCATTTTCATATTAAATTTTGTTTTACAAAAACAAATAAGATTTTGTCATTTACCTTCTTGTTTTTAAATATTGAAATTATTGATGTTATGTCTCATTATTAAAGACAAAAGATATTTTAATGAATGAAGAAATAGAAAACAATTTTGTGGAGTCTGCCAAAAACATCTGTTCTCTTGCCCTAAAATCTAGGTGTTTATATTTCCCAACATCGTGTCTGTTTTTCTCTGTGTTTTTGCCATTTTGTCTGTTTTTTCAATTTTGTCTATGTTTCTGCCATGTTGTCTGTTTTTCTTCCATTTTGTCTGTGTTTCTGCCATTTTATCTGTTTCTGCCATTTTGTCTTTGTTTCTGCCATTTTATATAGTTTTCTGCCATTTTTCTGTTTCTGCCATTTTGTCTGTTTTCTTCCATTTTGTCTGACTTTCTGCCATTTGTCTGTTACTTAGTCTGCCTTCTATCTCCCCCCCCCCCAAACTGTCTGTCTTCATTTGTCTGCTGTTTCCCAACAGTCCCCCGTAGGTTATCTACTAGCTCCCAATCAATACTGCTGTCTTCTCACACACATTAAAAAAATGTTTTCCCAATTTTCAAACCAACGTTTAAGTCTTCCACAAGTCAATGAAAAATTCCTGAGAAAAAAAAACGACAACCAACCCTATCATCCAATCTACACCCCAACCATTTTATCACACTGACATAAAAACTAAAACCACTTCAGATTCCAGCAGAAATCCACCAGGCGCATGCGCAGTTTTACAACACGTACTACTTTTTATCTTCACCAACACCGGCAGAGGTGTAGCGTCATGCGCGAGGGGAAGCCTTCATTTATGTACACATTTTACGGACGTTTTTTTCAGTTTATGCATCGGATCCGTCCTCCGATATTGTGTTTCTAAAATGTATAAGGACAACACAGACCTAACAAGCAAAGTATTAACCCACATATTTTCTTCTGTTAGAAATCACATGGAGTATAATTTAAAAGGCAACTATATCTTACTTCGGTATTATTTATTTAAATGAAAAATATGCAGTAACCTTAACATCAGTGTCATAAACCACGTACCCAAATCACTGAGTTCTAGTACAGTTAAGCGGAATACTACATGCTGTTTAATTAATGCAATATCGTTGTGATTATTGAATAATCTGCAAGTCAGGATAAAGGATGGGTTGGTCTGGGGCCAGCAACCCAACCCTACAACACAATACTGCTACAAAAATAATAGAACAAAATGAAATTAAAGACCAAGAACAAATATAAAATAAACCGGGAGTGATCTCCCCTAAACTTTCTCGAATTTTCTTTTATGAAACAACAGGGGATGGCAACTCGGGATAAAGACATGATTTTTAATCCATTTTAAATACTTAAACTTTTTAAAAATAGAATAAAATCTCGTAGTGAAAAAGAATTGCACACCAAGTGAACGCCAAATCAAATGTGCATAATAGTGCGCAATATCATTAGTACTTTATAAATTCACAAGCGTTTTTTGAGAAATCGGAAATAGCGTAAATTACTACTTCCAGTCAATGGAAATTACTCAAAATTTGAAAGAAGGCAGATAATTGGA